GTAGGAGGGAGAGATGTTAGGGGGACTGACAACAGTGCCTGTAGAAGGGAGAGATGTTAGGGGGACTGGCATCAGTGCCTGTAGGAAAGAGAGATGTTAGGGGGACTGACAACAGTGCCTGTAGGAGGGAGAGATGTTAGGGGGACTGACAACAGTGCCTGTAGGAGGGAGAGATGTTAGGGGGACTGACAACAGTGCCTGTAGGAGGGAGAGATGTTAGGGGGGCTGACAACAGTGCCTGTAGGAGAGAGAGATGTTAGGGGGACTGACAACAGTGCCTGTAGGAGGGAGAGATGTTAGGGGGACTGACAACAGTGCCTGTAGGAGGGAGAGATGTTAGGAGGACTGACACCAGTGCCTGTAGGAGGGAGAGATGTTAGGGGGACTGACAACAGTGCCTGTAGGAGGGAGAGATGTTAGGAGGACTGACACCAGTGCCTGTAGGAGGGAGAGATGTTAGGGGGACTGACAACAGTGCCTGTAGGAGGGAGAGATGTTAGGGGACTGACAATAGTGCCTCTAGGAGAGAGAGATGTTAGGGGGCTGACAACAGTGCCTATAGGAGGGAGAGATGTTAGGGGGGCTGACAACAGGGCCTGTAGGAGAGAGAGATGTTAGGGGGGCTGACAACAGTGCCTATAGGAGGGAGAGATGTTAGGGGGGCTGACAACAGGGCCTGTAGGAGAGAGAGAGATGTTAGGGGGACTGACAACAGTGCCTGTAGGAGGGAGAGATGTTAGGGGGACTGACAACAGTGCCTCTAGGAGAGAGAGATGTTAGGGGGACTGACAACAGTGCCTGTAGGAGGGAGAGATGTTAGGGGGACTGACAACAGTGCCTGTAGGAGGGAGAGATGTTAGGGGGACTGACAACAGTGCCTGTAGGAGGGAGAGATGTTAGGGGGGCTGACAACAGGGCCTCTAGGAGAGAGAGATGTTAGGGGGACTGACACCAGTGCCTGTAGTAGGGAGAGATGTTAGGGGACTGACAACAGTGCCTGTAGGAGGGAGAGATGTTAGGGGGGCTGACAACAGGGCCTCTAGGAGAGAGAGATGTTAGGGGGACTGATACCAGTGCCTGTAGGAGGGAGAGATGTTAGGGGACTGACAACAGTGCCTGTAGGAGGGAGAGATGTTAGGGGGGCTGAAAACAGGGCCTCTAGGAGAGAGAGATGTTAGGGGGACTGACACCAGTGCCTGTAGGAGGGAGAGATGTTAGGGGACTGACACCAGTGCCTGTAGGAGGGAGAGATGTTAGGGGGACTGACACCAGTGCCTGTAGGAGGGAGAGATGTTAGGGGGACTGACACCAGTGTCTGTAGGAGGAAGAGATGTCAGGGCTACTGACGACAGTACCTACAGCATGTGAGCTTCGATAACATTGTCACCAGTACTGTAGATGATATTAAGGGAAGTAAGTCACTAGTATCTACAGAAAGGGTAGACATTAATGGAATATTGAAACTGGTGTCCGCATATGTAGACGTTAATATTGTCGTAAGTGCCTACTACTAATGCTGGTCCTACTACTACTACTATTAGTATTACTACTACTACTACTACTACTACTACTACTACTACTACTGCTACTGCTTTTGCTACTGCTACTGTTACTACCAGTAGTACTACTTTGTGAGATTCCAAGTACTCTCGTGATTTCTGACATTATCAGGGAACTTTAAAAATAAGAGATCAAAAGGAAGGCACATAAGAGCGAGACTACACCTCGCGGTCACCTAACAACCCCTGACTTTTTATGATGATATAGGTAGGTATATATACACCAGTATCACAAAAACTAACCTGCAGGTGTGCCGAGCTAGCCAACTTTATCTTCTTATCCATGTGGACTATCTTGTAGTGAGCTGTGAGGAGAGAGTTCCACTCATGATCTCTGAGTGACGGTGGTGGTGGGGCGTCAAGATCGTCATGGCAACATGACTGTATGTATTGTTCGACGTGAGTCAGGGCTTGACGTACTCTCTTGATGGGTACCTAAAGTAACATTATTATTATTATTATTATTTTTTTATTATTATTATTTTATTTTTTATTTTTATTATTATATTATTTTATTATTATTATTATTATTGTTGTTTGTTTTTAAATTTAGTAGTAGTATAAATATAATAATGTAATAATAATTTTTTATTTTAAATGGTGGTACTGATAGCTCTCTCTCTCTCTCTCCCCTTCTCTTCTCTCTCTCTCTCTCTCTTCTCTCTCTCTCTCTCTCTCTCTCTCTCTCTCTCTCCCCTCTCTCTCACCCCTCTTCTCTCACTCACAGTACCCACCAAGCACCCAACAAGTCAGAATACAGACCTCACCATGCGGGTCGGACACTGCCTGTGGGCCATGGGTGTCGTGCCGTTCCACAACCCACTTCAGAACGTTCAGACAAGCAGTAAGACGATAGTCGTGAATGAACGCCGTTCTCTCGTCTTCGTGGCCAATACAATATCCTCTAGGAACGAACGTGTCCACACTAGCAGCCTCACTGAACCAGTGTAATTGTTGCAGTGTCTCACACAACCCATACTGTATATAAGGGGGGATAGTGTGGGTCAGTCAGTCTCATACAACCCATACTGTATATAAGGGGGGATAGTGTGGGTCAGTCAGTCTCACACAACCCATACTGTATATAAGGGGGGATAGTGTGGGTCAGTCAGTCTCATACAACCCATACTGTATATAAGGGGGGATAGTGTGGGTTAGTCAGTCTCATACAACCCATACTGTATATAAGGGGGGATAGTGTGGGTTAGTCAGTCTCATACAACCCATACTGTATATAAGGGGGGATAGGTGTGGTTAGTCCATCTCATACAACCCATACTGTATATAAGGGGGGATAGTGTGGTTAGTCAGTCTCATACAACCCATACTGTATATAAGCGGGGATAGTGTGGGTTAGTCAGTCTCACACAACCCATACTGATATAAGGGGGCATAGTGTGGGTTAGTCCGCCTCACACAACCCATACTGTATATCAAGGGGGATAGCTGTGGGTTAGTAAAGTCCACACCCAACCCATACTGTATAAGGGGGGATAGTGTGGGTTAGTCAGCTCATACAACCCATACTGTATATAAGGGGGATAGTGTGGGTCACAGTCAGTCCTACCAACAACCCCTCCAAAACCGCTATACAACAGGGGGGACTAGTCCTGGGTTATCTCACACAACCCATACGTATATAAGGGGGATAGTGGGCCAAGCCAGCTCAACACCCATACACTAACACGGAGATAGTGGGGTAGCAGTCTCATACAACCCATACCGTTAGCAGAGGGGCACGCATGGGCTATTATCATGGCGAATAACTCACCACAGCTCAATAAAACTCCAAACACACTAGAATACCAACTATCCATTCACCACAATTACGAACCCCATGGGATTATGCATATACAGAAAAACTATAATAAAATCATGGGTTAAACGCTCACACCACACGCACACCCACACTAACCCATACACATCTTTAAGATGAGGTACGATAAGGTTGTTGGAGCATGGAGAGAGAGGACCAAGTAACAACTAACGACGAGGCCGGGGCCAGAGCTGTGGCTCGACCCCAGCAACCACATATGTGAGTACACCAATATCCACCCACACCCACCACGCCCACACTACCCCACACCCACCACGCCCACACTACCCCACACCCACCACGCCCACACTACCCCACACCCCCCACGCCCACACTCCCCACACCCACCACGCCCACACTACCCCACACCCACCACACCCACACACCCCACACACCACCACACCCACACACCCCACACTCCACCCACAGCCCACACTACCCCACACCCCACGCCCACACTACCCCACACCCACCACACACCCACACTACCCCACACCCACCACGCCCACACTACCCCACCCCACCACACCCACACTACCCCACACCCACCACACCCACACTACCCCACACCCACACTACCCCACACCCACCACACCCACACTACCCCACACCCACCACGCCCACACTACCCCACACCCACCCCCACCCACACTACCCCACACCCACCACGCCCCACACTACCCCACACCCACCACCCCAACACTACCCCACACCCACCACGCCCACACTACCCCACACCCCCCCACACCCCACACTACCCCACACCCACCACGCCCACACTACCCCACACCCACCACACCCACACTACCCCACCCCCCCACGCCCACACTCCCCCACACCCACCACGCCCACACTACCCCACACCCACCACGCCCACACTACCCCACACCCACCCACACCCACACTACCCCACCCCCCCACGCCCACACACTACCCCACACCCACCACGCCCACACTACCCCACACCCACCACACCCACACTTCCCCACACCCACCACACCCACACTACCCCACACCCACCACGCCCACACTACCCCACACCCACCACACCCACACTACCCCACACCCACCACGCCCACACTACCCCACACCACCACGCCCACACTACCCCACACCCACCACGCCCACACTACCCCACACACACCACGCCCACACTTACCCCCACACCCACCACGCCCACACTACCCCACACCCACCACGCCCACACTACCCCACACACACCACGCCCACACTTCCCCACACCCACCACGCCCACACTACCCCACACACACCACGCCCACACTTCCCCACACTCACCCATTTTTAGCCAACTCACTGCAATATGTATTTTCAACACGCATTAAGGTCATCTTTCTTACCATGCATCTCCGCGACGTAATAAAGAGGAGGAGATGAAGGGGGAAATGACAAGAGGACGAGGAAGGAGAAGGGAAAGACTGAGAAATGAGCCATTTAAGATAAGATGTAAGGGGAGCAAAGGATAGAGGAAGGGGAATTAAGAGACGGGAATAATGGGTTGGACGAAAATGTAAATATATAGAGAGAGGGAACTAAGAAGGAAGGAAGAAGGAGGGAGGGAATAAAGAAGGTAATCACATACGTTGAGGTGATGTTAATTAGTAAGATACATCCATAGCATCCGCAAAACTCGTCTCCAGGCTGAGGGACTGACTACCTCAAAGCTACGTCTTCAAGGCTGATGGACTGATGACATCGTCTTCACATCTCTACTGCTTCTGCTGCCTCTGTACTCGACTGAAGAAGCCTACTGCGTAGGCGACACGTTTCGTAATAAAGATACCTAACTATTGCAGCTGTCTTACCAACCCGTCGGTATTGTAAACCGGTTTTAATATTCTCTCTGTCGAGATTCTGTGTCCGATTCCATCTCTATATTTCGTTAATGAATATATCAAAGACTCACGAAATCGTAATGACACGATTGCGAACAAGCCATACCACAGGTGGGGGTTAGAACCCGCGGTCAGAGAGTCTCAAAACTCCAGACCGACGCGTTAGCCACTGGGTCACCTGGCCCAGTGGCTAACGCGTCGGTCTGGAGTGTTATAACTCTCTGATCGTTAGTTCTAACCCCACCTGTGGTATGGTTTGAATATATCAATATTCTTGAGATATCGAACCTCGTAAGATAGAGCAAGGGGTTCAAGACGAACCAGTCACATGAGAGGTTCACTAGATATTGACCCTCGTAGGCTTGCAGCAGTGCTCCTTCCTACTTGAATGGGTGTGATATAGACGTGCCTAGCATGGGCCAGTAGGTCTGCTGCAGTGTTCTTTCTTATATAAGATAGAACAAGGACATTAGAATGACCTACTCACATGAGAAGAAGATTAATAATGACCCTGGAGCTTCTCCCCCAGGATGCCATCCACAACAGTCAACTAACACCCAGGTACCTATTTACTGCTAGGTGAACAGTGACAGCAGGTGTAAGGTGACTTGCCCATACGTCTCACCCTGCCCAGGATGCCACCCACAACACTCAACTAACACCCAGGTACCTATTTACTGCTAGGTGAACAGTGGCAGCAGGTGTAAGGTCACTTACCCATACGTCTCGCCCTGCCCAGGATGCCACCCACAACACTCAACTAACACCCAGGTACCTATTTACTGCTAGGTGAACAGTAGCAGCAGGTGTAAGGTGACTTGCCCATACGTCTCACCCTGCCCAGGATGCCACCCACAACAGTCAACTAACACCCAGGTACCTATTTACTGCTAGGTGAACAGTGGCAGCAGGTGTAAGGTGACTTGCCCATACGTCTCACCCTGCTCAGGATGCCACCCACAACACTCAACTAACACCCAGGTACCTATTTACTGCTAGGTGAACAGTGGCAGCAGGTGTAAGGTCACTTACCCATACGTCTCGCCCTGCCCAGGATGCCACCCACAACACTCAACTAACACCCAGGTACTATTTATGCAGGTGAACAGTGGCAGAGGGAAAGGTCACTTCCCTACGTCTGGGCCCTCCCCAGGAGCCACCCACAACACTCAATAAACCCAGGGGTCCCTTTTTTTGTGGTAAACAGTGGCAGCAGTGTAAGGTGACTTGCCCTACGTCTCCCCCTGCCCAGGATGCCACCCAAAACTCAACTAAACCCAGGTACCTATTTACTGTGGGTTTAACGGGAATGCAGCAGGTGTAAGGTGATTGCCCCATACGTCTCACCCTGCCCGGATGCCACCCAAGCCGTCAATAACTCCCAGTACCACCCGCCATTTACTGCTAGGCAACTTTATTCTAATAAATTCGGAAGCGTAAATCGCAGGGGCACACGGATAGGAAGGCATTGTCGATCAGAGGGGCTAGATCCAATCCGGATCAGGAACCTTCTACGCATCAGACCTTGAAGGGAATTGACTAGGGGTTGTGGGACTGACGCTGGGTTTTTAAAGCTGAGTGCTAGCTACTTTCTCACCCATGATATCTTTACCATGGGGAAAATAAGGTGCTGAGACAACATTTCGCCCAGTTAGAGCTTTACCTGGTTTAATAAAGCTCTGCAAAGGGCGAAAAGTTGCCTCAATTAAAGCTGAACTGTTGGGTGCCACACTTTATCTCTCTTGCTGGGTGCCAGGCTTTATCTCTCCTCCTTGGTGCCAGGACTTTTCTCTCTTGTGGGGTGCTAGGCTTATCTCTCTTGTGCGTGCTAGGCTTTATCTCTCTTGCTGGGTGCCAGGATTTATCTCTCTTGCTGGGTGCTAGGCTTTATCTCTCTTGCTGGGTGCTAGGCTTTATCTCTCTTGCTGGGTGCCAGGCTTTATCTCTCCTGCTGGGTGCTAGGCTTTATCTCTCTTGCTGGGTGCTAGGCTTTATCTCTCTTGCTGGGTGTTAGGCTTTATCTCTCTTGCTGGGTGCCAGGCTTTATCTCTCCAGCTGGGTGCCAGGCTTTACCTCTCCTGCTGGGTGCCCAGGTTTATTTCCCTGCGGGTGCCAGGCATTTATCTCTCCTGTGGGTGCCAGACTTTATCTCTCCTGCTGGGTGCCAGGCTTTATCTCTCTTGATGGGTGCTAGGCTTTATCTCTTTTGCTGGGTGAGGCTTTATTTCTGCTGGGTGCTAGGCTTTATCTCTCTTCTGGGTGCCAGGTTTTCATCCCTTGTGGGTGCCAGACTTTCTTTTCTGTTTGCTGGGTGCCAGGCCTTCATCTCTCTTGCTGGGTGCCAGGCTTTATCTCTCTTGCTGGGTGCCAGGCTTTATCTCTCTTGCTGGGTGCTAGGCTTTATCTCTCTTGCTGGGTGCCAGGCTTTATCTCTCTTGCTGGGTGCTAGGCTTTATCTCTCTTGCTGGGTGCCAGACTTTATCTTTCTTACTGGGTGCCAGGCTTTATCCCTCTTGCTGGGTGCCAGACTTTATCTCTCTTGCTGGGTGCCAGGCTTTATCTCTCTTGCTGGGTGCCAGGCTTTATCTCTCTTGCTGGGTGCCAGGCTTTATCTCTCTTGCTGGGTGCCAAGCTTTAGCTCTCCTGCTGGGCGCCAGGCTTTATCTCTCTTGCTGGGTGCCAGGCTTTCTCTCTCTTGCTGGGTGCCAGGCTTTATCTCTCCTGCTGGGTGCCAGGCTTTATCTCTCCTGCTGGGTGCCAGGCTTTAGCTCTCCTGCTGGGTGCCAGGCTTTATCTCTCCTACTGGGTGCCAGGCTTTATCTCTCCAGCTGGGTGCCAAGCTTTATCTCTCTTGCTGGGTGCCAGGCTTTATCTCTCCTGCTGGGTGCCAGGCTTTATTTCTCCTGCTGGGTGCCAGGCTTTATCTCTCTTGCTGGGTGCCAGGCTTTATCTCTCCTGCTGGGTGCCAGGCTTTATCTCTCCTGCTGGGTGCCAGGCTTTAGCTCTTCTGATGGGTGCCAGGCTTTATCTCTCCTGCTGGGTGCCAGGTTTTATCTCTCCTGCTGGGTGCCAGGCTTTATCTCTCCTGCTGGGTGCCAGGCTTTATCTCTCCTCCTGGGTGCCAGGCTTTATCTCTCCTGCTGGGTGCCAGGCTTTATCTCTCCTGCTGGGTGCCAGGCTTTGTCTCTCCTGATGGGTGGCAGGCTTTATCTCTTCTGCTGGGTGCCAGGCTTTATCTCTCTTGCTGGGTGCCAGGCTTTATCTCTCCTGCTGGGTGTCAGGCTTTGTCTCTCCTGCTGGGTGCCAGGCTTTGTCTCTCCTGCTGGGTGCCAGGCTTTATCTCTCCTGCTGGGTGCTAGGCTTTATCTCTCCTGCTGGGTGCCAGGCTTTATCTCTCTGCTGGGTGCCAGGCTTTATCTCTCTTGCTGGGTGTCAGGCTTTATCTCTCCTGCTGGGTGCCAGGCTTTATCTCTCTTGCTGGGTGCCAGGCTTTATCTCTCCTGCTGGGTGCCAGGCTTTATCTCTCTTGCTGGGTGCCAGGCTTTATCTCTCCTGCTGGGTGCCAGGCTTTATCTCTCCTGCTGGGTGCCAGGCTTTATCTCTCCTGCTGGGTGCCAGGCTTTATCTCTCCTGCTGGGTGCCAGGCTTTATCTCCCATCTCAGATTTCTAATTCACTTACGTAGGTAAAATTATACTACTGCTACTGTTAATGCTACTACTATTATCACTATTACTATTACTACCACTATTACTGCTACTACTAGTGCTACTACTATTACTACTAGTACTACTGCTAGTATATAGCACAGCTCAGACCTTTGCAACACTCCCATTCTGTTCTGGGCTCTGTCCGCTCACACAGTTGCTCTACGCTCAAGAAGCCTCCGTTCGACCCCCGTCGGGGTGGGGAATTTGTATTCTACAAACGTCACATCCTTTTCACAATGCTGTCGCATCGTGTGAAAATCAAGCCTGTGAATGGTGCAATAAATGATTCCTCGAAGATAGTTTTAGCTACCGTCGTTAGGACCCGCCTGCAGGTCAAATTTACGGCAATCCACTCTCTGAAGGACTCCTTCATTGTCGTCTGTGCAGACGACAGTGAAGCACTAAAACTAGTGGACGACTCTTCAGTCAGGATCCTACAAACACAACAATTCACTCTATCCCCGTCTCCATTCTTGAAGTCGAAACGTTCGGTCTTTGTGAAAAGACTGGACAATATCGTCACCTCTCTCTCTACTGAAGCACTGAAGACATCTATTGAGGAACAAAACACCTGAGCCTCGGTAGACAGCATCTCCAAGATCCCTAACGCCGCATCTATGCTAAACATTATATTCTCAGACATCTCCATGGCTGCCCAAGCTCTCTCTGACGGTCTGGCCATCTCATATTACCACATTCACCCAAGTCATATAGAACAAGAACTGCAGGACCTGCTACTGCTGGACCTGCTGCTGCTGGACCTGCTACTGCTGGACCTGCTACTGCTGGACCTGCTACTCCTATAAACACACCACCAAGGACTGCCCCACCAAGGATAAGAAGTTTTGTTCAAAATGTGGGAATGATGGACACGATTTCAGATCCTGCATCATTACTACAGCACCATCACATGTTAACTGCAAGAGTAATCATCATACCCTTGCAGCTAAGTGCCCACTCAGGAAAGAAATATTGAAGAACACTAAAGTTCTGAAGAACACCTCCAATTCCCCGACATACGCTGCGATGACCAAACCACAAACCGACACCATCAAGACTCTACACGCCACTCTACAGACACCATCGCCCAGCAACTCCCTCTCTCCACTCCTCGACGGTGCTGCCTCCAAGGTGCTGTACTGCATGGTGTATGCACACCTTGCAAACGCAACAAACCCCGGCACTTTCAACACCAATATTAACGAACTATTTCGTCTGAACAACATGTCTGCCTTCAATTTCCCGGACTCCACACCTTCAGCAGACATCCTCAACACCCTTCCCAACGTCGCGAACTTTACTGCACCTGCAGACCTGTCTCCTGCCCAAGCAACTGCTCCTGTAACTTCTATAACCACTTCCACCCCCGAGCATGATGATCATGCTGCCTCAACCACTGTCTCCCACCTCTCCCAGCCTGCTGTTACACCACCATTACACCTCTCTACTGCTCCTGTCGACCCTCAGTCACCTGCTACCACCACTGTAGACTCGTCAAATGAATCCATTCCAGAAGAGGAAGATAGCGACGACTCCAGTAAACCCTCATGGGAAAACCTTACCTTCTACACTTCTTCAAATACTGACACCATGACCTGTACTGAACTCGACAAAAGCCTGGGTGCTGGAACAGTCAAGTATGTCTGTGAATCACTGCTGCACTTCACACTCACCCAAGTTCTTGAGTTCATCAAGCCTCTACGTTTCACCTTCAGTAACAAGACTAAACTATACCACCTATCTAGGAGCAGCTTCAAAAAGTTCGAAAATGGCTCCATTGCTAACCTGCCTCCTGAGTTACTCCTACAACTCCCATATGTGTTCTACCCTCTGATGTGACCTAGCCTGCTGCCAGCTACTCAAGATTCAAAACTTCAACTACCACAAAGTTCGATGCAACAGTCCCTGCTATTCCTGTTCTCAAGTCTGCCCCACGATCGCCTTAGCTGCTGGGTTAAGCCCTGGCTGTATTTCTCTGACTAAGAACACTCCTCTCCAGCACTATTCTTCGTCTGTCCCGTCTTCCCCGCTCATCCCACTGGGATCTTACCTGAACTTGTTCGTTCTACAACACAATTGTCCTCAAAGATTTGTTAAGTTATATCATGAATTAAGTAAAGATACTGGACTTCACCTTACCAAACAGACAAATCAAATGTGATAGTAATTATGTACAAGATAGATTATAGGTGAAAATAAACATATTAGGAAACAGGCGAATTCAGGCGCCTCTTAAGCTTCTGCTTCCTGCTTACCTTAGTGGTAAAGGGTGTGTTGGGGAAGCGGTTGACTACTTGTTCCCTACTTAGGTGCTTGAACGATATAGAATCTCTGGTCCAGGTCCACAGAAAGTTGGGTTCTACATTCCTCAAGAGCCTAGCCACCAGAGGCAGGTCCATATCACAGAGTTCATACTCTATGTATGGACAGTATGGCTCTGGAGCGACTTCACCTTCAGTCGTAGTACTTTTATCTTGGCTTTCGTTGTTTTCATTCTCTACATTTTCTACTTGAGGCTCTCTATGTTCTACAACTACCTCATCCTTTGCACTATTTTCTAAATTATCATTACTCTTAATCTTTGGTATGTGTATAGTACTGTACTGGAATATCGTAGCATTTCTTTCCGTTATTGATTTGACTAGGCCTTTCCTTATTTCAGAGGGGCCTAGTATGGCAGTGTTGAAACTATCACAATTATTTACAAGCTCCTCTGAGTTACTGGATCTCTCTGGAATACTGGAAGACTGCCCTGATACATCAGTCTCCTGACTGGAAGTTGTTACTGAAACCTGTGTACCTTTGGAAGTGATTTCGTGTGTTGCTGGAGCTATATTTTCTACGTTGGAAGAACATGGGTTGGCAGTGGTAACTTTCTGTTCCTCTTCCGATTCTGATGATGATGATGATGAAGATGATGAATATGATGATGTCTGTGATGAGTTCTCTGAAGAATGGGCAGTGGGTCAGGTGATGTGTTGTGTGGTGGAGATGTGACATGACCCTCACCACCATCACTCTCCTGTGTGTTTGTAACATCATTGTCTTCAACAGTTTTTGCTACGTCAGTCTTGACTTGGTCAGTGGCGCCAGCCGCCCCGTCACTCTCATCATTCGTAAGATCATCGGCATTTTCGACATTTTTTGTATCATCAGAACCTGTCCTGGTCTCCATTAGGGGTGTCGATGAGTTGCGATTAGCTTGTGTTGACGAGGTGTTGTGGTTGGAGGCCGCAGAGGCAGGCAAGACAGTGGCCTGGTAACCTACATGAGGACACACACAGTTGTTTGGGTGAGGATTGACGTAGGGTACAGAATGCTGAATTTTTTCCACCCATCCTCTTCTCCGGAGAGCATCCTTGATGGCTGGGAAGTATCCAAAAATGGAGAACACACGTCCCTCCTGCAGAAAAAAAAAAGAAAATACAAAGATAGGGAAAATAAATTGACTTTACATTCCACGTATCATTACGTATTATGCTTGATTATAACATACATGGGGACAGAAATTCAGAAAATTAATTGATCTGTGTATTTCGACCTTCCTGGGATCCTCTTCTCTTCTGGGATCCTCTTCTCTTCTGGGATCCTCTTCTGGGATTCTCTTCCCTTCTGGGATACTCGAGCCTTCTGGGATCCTCTACCCTTCTGGGATCCTCTACCCTCTTGGGATCCTCGAGCCTCCTGGGATCCTCTACCTTTCTGGGATCCTCTACCCTTCTGGGATCCTCTACCCTTCTGGGATCCTCTACCCTTCTGGGATCCTCTACCCTTCTGGGATCTTCTACCCTTCTGGGATCCTCACCTTGGATCCTTACCCTTCTGGGATCCTCTACCCTTCTGGGATCCTCTACCCTTCTGGGATCTTCTACCCTTCTGGAATCCTCTACCCTTCTGGGATCCTCTACCCTTTTGGGATCCTCAGCCTCCTGGGATCCTCTACCTTTCTGGGATCCTCTACCCTTCTGGGATCCTCTACCCTTCTGGGATCCTCTACCCATCTGGGATCCTCGAGCCTTCTGGGATCCTCTACCCTTCTGGGATCCTCGAGCCTTCTGGGAACCTCTTCTGCTGAAGAGGATCCCGAAGAGGATGGAAATACACAGACCAATTAAGCTCCAGAGTTTCTGTCTCCCTGTGGGTTAATAATGATCATTAACAAGTGTTTATTACACTTTAGTAATCCATCATCCATTATATTTAAGAAATACAGCTTAATCTAAGGAACTAATGTAATCTAAGATTACATTAATTTCTTGTAGATGAATGGTTCACAGAACCCCACTCGTTCAGGGGTTTAAACTGAGCAAAGTCAGGTGAATTTGCTAGATTAGTTACATTAGTTTCACCTAGGGAGGAGGTAATTATTAATTACCTTGTTTCTTGTAAGAAATTAATGTGATAAATTAGACACATGTGTAACTCTTGGGTATCTTTATTAAGGAAACGTTTCGCCACACAGTGGCTTCATCAGTCCATACACAGGAGAAGCTTGAAGAACAGGAGGAGAATGAGGTAATCAGTCCCTCAACCTTGAGTCGATGTGGTCAGTCCATTAATTCTATTCAAGATTGCTGGACTGACCACATCGACTCAAGGTTGAGGGACTGATTACCTCATTCTCCTCCTGTTCTTCAAGCTTCTCCTGGGTATGGACTGATGAAGCCACTGTGTGGCGAAACGTTTCCTTAATAAAGATACCCAAGAGTTGCACATGTGTAACTAATCTAGCAAATTCACCTGACTTTGCTCAGTTTAAACCCCTGAACGAGTGGGGGACTGAACCCTTGTCTTGAACTCACAGGCCAGTGCGCTAACAACTCGACTAGGTGGCCTGTGGGTTTCACGACTCGCTTGCCGCCACGAGTTCAAGTCCCATCCGTTCCGTGGTTTGTTTCTACTCGTGTTCTATATAAAAAAAATTACGTAATTGTATTTAACAATTTTACCCGGGGTTATAAAGGGTAATTTCCATGGAATCTGGTAAAGCTGTTGGCTTCGAGGGTCAACGAACCCATGGTGGATCAGGGCCTGATCAACCAGGCTGTTACTGTTGGTTGCACGCAAAACGACGTACGAACCACAGCCTGGTTGGTCAGGTACTGATTTTAATAATACATATTTATTACAAAACGTTCCGTAAAAGGACACAGGTACAACTAATGCGATATTTTATTAATATTGGCAACGTTTCGCTCTCCAGGAGCTTTACAAAACTCCTGGAGAGCGAAACGTTGCCACAATAAAATGTCACATTAGTTGCCCTTGTGTCGTTTTACTTAACATATTGCCGGTAATTCTACCAACATTATTACAGAGAACGTTTCGGTCCTGGGACCTTGATAACGTTCTCCAATATACCCACGTGTCTTTGTAAACCAATTAGTTCAGTATATATTACCGAGGTTTATAACATCTCTCAGTGTATATACACTGAGAAATATAATCTCTCTCAGTGTATATACACTGAGAAATATAATCTCTCAGTGTATATACACTGAGAAATATAATCTCTCAGTGTATATACACTGAGAAATATAATCTCTCAGTGTATATACACTGAGAAATATAATCTCTCAGTGTATATACACTGAAAATATAATCTCTCAGTGTATATATACTGAGAAATATAATCTCTCAGTGTATATACACTGAGAAATATAATCTCTCAGTGTATATACACTGAGAGATTAATTACTATTTTAGCGATTAAATTATCCTTGATTAATGAACTGATAATCTGTCTTAATTACTTTCGTGTAGTCGATAGATTTGACTCGTGTAGTCGATAGATTTGATTCGTGTAGTCGATAGATTTGACTCGTGTAGTCGATAGATTTGATTCTCGTGTGGTCGACAGACGCTAAACTTAATGGAGAAAGTATGATACATATCCACTTACCACAATGGCTCGCTCGGTGAACATTTTGACTTTCTTGATCTGCTCGAAGGACATCTGTTTTGACCGAGGTGAAATACCCCCGAGGGACGTTGAGGACCCCTTCCTTCCTGGGGACCTGGGCATGGAAGGACTGGTCGGTGTCAGACCATAATCACCGCTATTACCAGGCCCAAGACCCCCTCCTGTATACCTGGTGCTGGGGTGCTTGTGGCGAGGTTGTGGCGAAGATCCAGGCGAACTCAGGGACTGTGCTCCAAAGAGTTTCTTGTGTGGCGAAGAAGAGTCTCTGGAGACACTTGTGTTATTCCTGCTCTTCAGAATTCTGGAGGAATTGCTTTTTGGAGTTGTGGAAATGGAGGCTTTGGGTGTATTGGCCGGGGCAGAAGAGATGATAGGCGCCATATTGTTCTTCCTCGATGATTTTGTTATAGATTCACATTTAGAACATGTTATTTTAGAGAAAACGTTCTTTGAGAATTTCGACTGTGGAGCTTTCTGGTTGACTGACACCGATGAACTGGATATGGTCGAAGACGCCGATTTTAATGGCGATTTATGTTTGACCTCAGAGTTCTTGGTTGGCCCGGTCGTGTTGACAGCATTCTCATACTTAGTTTGAGTCATTGTGAATTCTTCCGAAATCTTTTTAACGTGTCTGCGGACCGCAGTTGACGGTCTAATGTTTCCTTTAGCTTTCAGCTCTTTCTTGTACAATTTTGTCCTCTTCCAGTCCTTGTTGTTGAGGTGAGAAGTGTCGTCAAAGCCTTGTGCTTCCTGTACCACTGAACTGAGAGCCAGATAGTCAATGGTTGGCCGAATTTCTATATTATTGAAGGGGATGTGTGCGTGTTTCAGTATTGGGTTGAGTTGTGTTGGGCCTGATGCGAGGTTTTCTTGCATTTTAATAGCTCTTCCAGGGATGGCTTCCTTCATTATATATTCTGCTCAAACTGTGAAAAATAAAAAATACATTTGTCCAATTTAACCTGTAGTCTGGCAGTCGTCTGACATTTATAGCAATCTGATAGCATAATTTTCTCAACCCAAAACAATGGTTGTTCGCCAGGGGTTTTCTATAAGTTATAACGAAGCATATCAACGTTATATTTGCATCTTGCGTGTGTTTCCCGTCCCGGTGTCATAGTTGAGAGTGAGAGCAGAGAACGAGTAATCTCTCCTGGGAACATAAAACCTGCATGCCTCACCCGGAGGTGACTCTAGACTTCTTCAAGAAAGAACAGAGAAGCAGTGAGAGTTGAGTCTGTGCTGTGCGAGTGGTGGTCGCTACAGCAGGCAGTGCTACTGCAGCCACGGGTGGGAGTACAGGCATAATGTCACCTGCTGGGGAGTGAGGTTAACACTCTCTCAGCATACTTTTACAACAACTTCGTGTTTCCTGAAAAGAGGAAAGAAATAGATTATTTTAAATTAGTAAAAGAATCTTTGATTGTTGTAAAGGATCATTTATTCCGGTCACAGATTGATGGCCAGCATAATTTTTTCAGCCGTAAGTGTAAGCAGAGAGGGTAGAGGGCAGGGAGAGAGCCTTTTGCTACACTATTCTAGCTTCTGCTATTTTTGGATAGACAAGGGATAGCTAAATTATAGAAGTGTAGACGAATGTTTTTTAGGGGCTGGACGAGCTATTGGAGTGTGAGCAGGTAATGTTTCGGGAAGGGACTTAAGGAAACCGGTTAGTCGGACCTGAGTCCTGGAGGTGGGAAGTACAATGCCTGTATTCTAAAGGAAGGGTTTGGGATATTTGCTGTTTAGAGAAACATCTAAACTGTCACATCTGCGTGCCTCTGGCAGGACAGTGACAGTGTGAATAACAGTGAAAGTATTTCTTTTTCGGGTCACCTGCCTCGGTGGGAGACGGCCAGCGTGACACACACACACACACACACACACACACACACACACACACACACACACATAGTAGATACCAGTGAAGAGGCAAGGTCAGGAGCTGTGAATCGACCCCTGCAACCACAATTAGGTGAGAACACACACAAATCCAGCAGCATTACAACCTAAAATCCTTACGTGATATTCCTTAATAACATAAACTAAGTAAATATATATACAAACATATATATACACAGCAGACTACCTGCCTCCCCTGTACGTGGGACTACCTGCCTCCCTTGTACGTGGGACTACCTGCCTCCCCTGTACGTGGGACTACCTGTCTCCCCTGTACGTGGACTACCTGCCCCCTTGTACGTGGGACTACCTGCCTCCCCTGTACGTGGGACTACCTGTCTCCCCTGTACGTGGGACTACCTGCCTCCCTTGTACGTGGGACTACCTGCCTCCCCTGTACGTGGGACTACCTGTCTCCCCTGAAACGTGGGACTACCTGCCTCCCCTGTACGTGGGACTACCTGCCTCCCTTGTACGTGGGACTACCTGCCTCCCCTGTACGTGGGACTACCTGTCTCCCCTGTACGTGGGACTACCTGCCTCCCTTGTACGTGGGACTACCTGCCTCCCCTGTACGTGGACTACCTGCCTCCCTTGTACGTGGGCCCTTACCTGCCTCCCCTGTACGTGGGACTACCTGTCTCCCCTGTACGTGGGGACTACCTGCCCCCTTGTACGTGGGACTACCTGCCTCCCCTGTACGTGGGACTACCTGTCTCCCCTGTACGTGGGACTACCTGCCTCCCTTGTACGTGGGACTACCTGCCTCCCCTGTACGTGGGACTACCTGCCTCCCTTGTACGTGGGACTACCTGCCTCCCCTGTACGTGGGATTTACTGCCTCCCCTAAAACGGGGGCCCTACCTGCCTCCCCTGTACGTGGGACTACCTGCCTCCCCTGTACGTGGGACTACCTGCCTCCCCTGTACGTGGGACTACCTGCCTCCCTTGTACGTGGGACTACCTGCCTCCCCTGTACGTGGGACTACCTGCCTCCCTTGTACGTGGGACTACCTGCCTCCCCTGTACGTGGGACTACCTGCCTCCCTTGTACGTGGGACTACCTGCCTCCCCTGTACGTGGGACTACCTGCCTCCCTTGTACGTGGGACTACCTGCCTCCCCTGTACGTGGGACTACCTGCCTCCCCTGTACGTGGGACTACCTGCCTCCCCTGTACGTGGGACTACCTGCCTCCCCTGTACGTGGGACTACCTGCCTCCCTTGTACGTGGGACTACCTGCCTCCCTTGTACGTGGGACTACCTGCCTCCCTTGTACGTGGGACTACCTGCCTCCCTGTACTGGGACTACCTGCCTCCCTTGTTACGTGGACTTACCTGCCTCCCTTGTACGTGGACTACCTTTGCCTCCTTGTACGGGGGACTACCTGCTTCCTTTGTACGTGGGACTACCTGCCTCCCTTGTACGTGGGACTACCTTCCTCCCTTGTACGTGGTACTACCTGCCTCCCCTGTACGTGGGACTACCTGCCTCCCTTGTACGGGGGACTACCTCCCTCCCTTTTTACGTGGGACTACCTGCCTCCCTTGTACGTGGGACTACCTGCCTCCCTTGTACGTGGGACTACCTGCCTCCCTTGTACGTGGGACTACCTGCCTCCCCTGTACGTGGACTACCTGCCCCCCTTTACGTGGGACTACCTGCCTCCCTTGTACGTGGGACTACCTCCCCCTCCCTTGTACGTGGGACTACCTGCCCCTTGTACGGGGGACTACCTGCCTCCCTTGTACGGGGGACTACCTGCCTCCCTTGTACGTGGGACTCCCTGCCTCCCTTGTACGTGGGACTACCTGCCTCCCCTGTACGTGGGACTACCTCCCCCCTTGTACGTGGGACTACCGCCCCCCTTGTACGTGGGACTCCCGCCTCCCTTGTACGTGGGACTACCTGCCTCCCCTGTACGTGGGATTTACCTGCCTCCCTTGTACGTGGGACTACCTGCCTCCCTTGTACGTGGGCCTACCTGCCTCCCCGGTACGTGGGACTACCTGCCTCCCTGTACGTGGGACTACTTGCCCCCCTTTGTACGTGGGACTACCTGCCTCCTTGTACTGGGACTACCTGCCTCCCATGTACGTGGGACTACCTGCCCCCCCGTACGTGGGACTACCTGCCTCCCTGTACGTGGGACTACCTGCCTCCCTTGTCGTGGGACTACCTGCCTCCCTTGTACGTGGGACTACCTGCCTCCCTTATACGTGGGACTACCTGCCTCCCTTGTACGTGGGACTACCTGCCTCCCTTGTACGGGGGACTACTGCCTCCCTTGTACGTGGGACACCTGCCTCCCCTGTACGTGGGACTACCTGCCTCCCTTGTACGTGGGACTACCTGCCTCCCCTGTACGTGGGATTATCTGCCTCCCTTGTACGTGGGACTACCTGCCTCCCTTGTACATGGGACTACCTGCCTCCCCTGTAGGGTGGACTAACCTGCCTCCCTTGTACTGGGACTACCTGCCTCCCTTGTCGTGGGCAAACCTGCCCCCCCTGTACGTGGGACTACCTGCCTCCCTTGAAACTGGGACTACCTGCCTCCCTTGTACTGGGGACTACCTGCCTCCCTTGTACGTGGGACTACCTGCCTCCCTTGTACGTGGGACTACCTGCCTCCCTTGTACGTGGGACTACCTGCCTCCCTTGTACGTGGGACTACCTGCCTCCCCTGTACGTGGGACTACCTGCCTCCCCTGTACGTGGGACTACCTGCCTCCCCTGTACGTGGGACTACCTGCCTCCCCTGTACGTGGGACTACCTGCCTCCCTTGTACGTGGGACTACCTGCCTCCCCTGTACTTGGGACTACCTGCCTCCCTTGTACGTGGGACTACCTGCCTCTCCTGTACGTGGGACTACCTGCCTCCCTTGTACGTGGGACTACCTGCCTCCCTTGTACGTGGGACTACCTGCCTCCCTTGTACGTGGGACTTCCTGCCTCCCCTGTTCGGGGGACTACCCTGCCTCCCTTGTAGTGGGACTCCCTGCCTCCACTGTACGTGGGACTACCTGCCTCCCCTGTACGTGGGACTACCTGCCTCCCTTGTACATGGGACTACCTGCCTCCCTTGTACGTGGACTAACCTGCATCCCTTGTACGTGGGACTACCTGCCTCCCCTGTACGTGGACTACCTGCCTCCCTGTCGTGGGACTACCTGCCTCCCCTGTACTGGGACTACCTGCCTCCCCTGTACTGGGACTACCTGCCCCCCCTGTACGTGGGACTACCTCCCCTCCCCGTTCGTGGGACTACCTGCCTCCCCTGTACGTGGGACTCCTGCCTCCCCTGTACGTGGGACTACCTGCCCCCCCCCTGTACGTGGACTACCTGCCTCCCCTGTACGTGGGACTACCTGCCTCCCCTTACGTGGGACTCCCTGCATCCCCCTGTACGTGGGACTACCTGCCTCCCTTGTACGTGGGACTACCTGCCTCCATTGTACGGGGGACTACCTGCCTCCCCTGAAAGTGGACTACCTCCTCCCTTGTCGGGGACACTGGTTCCCTGTACGGGGGACTTCCTGCCTCCCTGTACGTGGGACTACCTGCCTCCCCTTACGTGGGACACCTGCCTCCCCTGTACGTGGGACTCCCTCCTCCCTTGTACGTGGGACTCCCTGCCTCCCCTGTACGGGGGATTTACCTGCCTCCCCTGTACGTGGGACTACCTGCATCCCCTTACGTGGGACTACCTGCCTCCCCTGTACGTGGGACTACCTGCCTCCCTTGTACGTGGGACTACCCTGCCTCCCCTGTACGTGGGACTACCTGCTCCCCTGTACGTGGACTACCTGCCTCCCCTGTACGTGGGCCCTACCTGCCTCCCCTGTACGTGGGACTACCTGCCTCCCCTGTACGTGGGACTACCTGCCTCCCTTGTACGTGGGACTACCTGCCTCCCTTGTACGTGGGACTACCTGCCTCCCCTGTACGTGGGACTACCTGCCTCCCTTGTACGTGGGACTACCTGCCTCCCCTGTACGTGGGACTACCTGCCTCCCCTGACGTGGGACTACCTGCCTCCCCTGTACGTGGGACAAACCCTGCCTCCCCTGTACGTGGGACTAACCTGCCTCCCCTGTACGGACTACCTCCCTCCCCTGTACGTGGACTACCTGCCTCCCCTGTACGTGGGACTACCTGCCTCCCTTGTACGGGACACCTGCCTACCCTTGTACGTGGGACTACCTGCCTCCCTTATACGTGGGACTACCTGCCTCCCTTGACGTGGGACTACCTCCCCTCCCTTGTACGTAGGGACTACCTGCCTCCCTTGTACGTGGGACTACCTGCCTCCCCTGTACGTGGGACTCCCTGCCTCCCTTGTACGTGGGACTCCCTGCCTCCCCTGTACGGGGGATTATCTGCCCCTTGTACGTGGGACTACCTGCCTCCCTTGTACATGGGACATACTGCCTCCCCTGTACGTGGACTACCTGCCTCCCTT